GTTGTTTAAAATCCCTTTCTTGAAACAAATAGAATGTGGTCTGTTATAAAAGAAAGACACATGAATGGAAGTAAAAGAATAACAAGAGATAGAATGTAAGTAAAAAGTGTCCGTACAGGGTTGGAATGCAGCACAGTGAAGAATTCAGGGCTGGTGAGGAACTTGGCGCTAGGGGACTGAAGCAGCAGGGTTAGGCGAGACCTGGGACTGGACTGTGGCAAATTGCTGTCCCTACGTAGCTCTGCAAAATATACCAGAATCGTCAAAATAAAAAAAAGAAAATCACAGGGGAAGAACATGGATCAGGATTTTGTGCCGTGTAGAAGGGGGCTACCTGGGAATGAGGGTTGCATATCAGTCTCATCAGCTGAAAGCTCATTGGGTAGCTGCTCTTCTGGTCTACTGTCGTTGGTCATTGTCCTACGTATACTTTGATACCTGCAAATTTATGTGTACAGTAACAATTAACGATAATGTTACTAAAAACAAAAAAATGGGAAGTGGCAAATTCATTTCCATTTTTAACTGAAACTTTGGACGAACATCTAGTTTGCGAATCTTCATGTGCATATGTTTGTTTTCTGACCTGCGATTTAGCTGTTCCATCTGCTGTATGGAGTTAGACCTCTGAAGAGTTTGTGGGGCCGGGGGTGCGGTTGGACGTTGCCATGTTGTTGTTCTGTTCACGTGGTCCACATAGAAAATGCGACCATGGCTGTCTATGCGAGCCTCCCAATCTGGATCACACACAATGCAACAGAAGAACACATATAGTAGTTCTCCAAAAGATTCTGTTCCTCTGGACGTAGTGTTTTGTGGGAGAAACGTTTCGTCACTCATCCAAGTGACTTCTTCAGTCTGCATCAAGACATATAGTAGCTGTTTTTCATGTAAGAATATAGAGGTTTCTAAACTAAGGTTTTATGAACAAAAATGACACAGTAGATTATATATAATTATAATCATATATGTATAAAATTTTGGCCTTAAAGTTGCAGAACTACTGACTACAATCTACAATCTAGCTGTTTTTAAGATTAAAATACAAAACTGAATCTGTGGCTTATGGGTTTATTACAAATGAGAAATTCTAGCATTTAAAGCTAAGGTTGCAAATTCAAATTCAGTAGCAAATTCCACATCTGGAAAATAGTAACACACATTTGTGTCAACTTGTCTAGTCGTACATACATGTAATTGGAAAGGCCTATTACAGTATTTTCCACACTGTAAGGTGCACTTAAAATCCTTTAATTTTCTCAAAAATCGACAGCGTGACTTATGTATAAATTCTGGTTGTGCTTACTGACCTCGAACTGATTTTATGTGCTACACGGCGCTCAGAAATCTGTCAAAAAATGTTTTAGTACAACTTCGGTAAGCTACGAAGCCGCACTGCTTGATGGATTGCTGGAGCATTACGGCTGCCATAGTCAAGAGCCTTGCGGAAGAATCTGGGTCCAAAAGCTTCAAGTCCCAAAGTCAAACGAACACTGTGGTATCACTGAGAGTTTAAAACTGTCTAAATTCTTTCATCTTTAATAAAATGATCAGTGTTGCTGCTTTACCAGGTGTAACAATTAAGTTTAACATCCAGGCATCCAGGAAAACAGGATTTATTAACGGAGTTACCAGTTAGCAGGAAGTTAGCTCGCTAGTTTCTACCTAAACATGAGCATGTTCTGACTGAGAGATTTCTGAAAAAATTCAAACGTACAGCTCTGCTATCACTTCCA